GCATCTCAGCATCCCACGTCTACCCAAACACAGAAAAACCTGCGGCCTGTACGTAACTTCGGATCGGCAAGCCCCCTAAACCCTAAACCCTAAGTACCCTAAACCCTAATTACCCTAAACCCTAAACCCTAAACCCTAAGTGCAGAAAATGGGCCGAAGTCTAAACCCCAAGCTTCGAAGAGGCCTCGGCCTCAAACCTGGACACGAGGTCAGCCAGCCTGGGCTTTTTTGGGGTGGGCATGTAATGTAGGGGCCTTAAGATTTAGAGTAGGGTTTTGGGCTTCTTGATGGTATAATCATAATCATAATAAGGAACCTCCAAAATAGTATTGGTAATTATTCAGGCTCCTACATTACGACAAAAGCATCTGCAGTCATGAGAAAAACAGCAAGGTTGGCACACCACAGCAGCCTTCAACAGACGACAAAGGCAGCAGCTGCTCAAAAGATGACCACAAGGACGACGACGATGACGTCGACTACTACTGCTGCTACTGCGACCACTACCACCACCACCACCACCACGATCACGACGACGACGACGACGACTACTACTACTACTACGACGACGACTACTACTACTACTGGTGCTACTGCTACTACTGCTACTGCTGCTACTGCTACTGCTACTCACTACTACTTAGACTACGATCAGGACGAGGACGAGGACCACCACCGCGACCACACCAACAGCCGTCGTCGTCGTTGACAAGTCTTGACTACATGACACACATTGAAGCTTCATTGTTCATCGGCCTGCCCAACGATCTGAACTAAACATGCCAGGCTGCAAAGTGCCTTCTGACAAGGTCGGTCTGACTTGCGTTGCCTGGGCTGTCCAGCTGAGTGTCAAGTCCCCTGCACCCAAACTGAGCAAGATCTGCCAAATACAGCTCTGTAAGCAGCTGTCCAACTCATCTCCAGCAGAATCTCCTGCAGAAATCGCTGTGCGGCTCAAGGCAGCGTCATGGATGAAGGGACACAAGACTAAAACCTTCCTTGTGACACTTCGTTCTCATAATCTCAGAAAACCGACCGGCAGCCTAAAGAAGGCGTTTTAGGATTTAGGTTTCCTAAACCCTAAGCCGTCCTGCGCTCTTCGAGAACTCGGCTCCGGCCACAGGCGCCGTGATATCGGCCTTCGATATAGTATAGAATAGTACATAATATTATATAATAGAATGTAATAGAATATAACAGTATATAAGAGTATGTAAGAGGATATAATACTATGTAGTAGTATGTAAAAGGAGATCATAGTATATAATAATTGCATATTGCAGGATATGTTACAGTATACTATGGTATGTCGCGTACAGCGAGGCTGAGGAGTTGACATCTGAGCCCAAAGAAAACAAAGACACCGGAGGTTCGGGGGTGTTGGGCTAAGAGGTTTAGGGTTACTATACTAGAGGGGTGACCTTTAAGCCCCCACTGTAAAGGACACTATAAGTTCAGATTGGACGGTTGACGGGCATTGGGGGCCACCCTTGCACCGTCCACCTTCCTTGCCTATCCTGAGCTTCTGTGGCTGCGAGCGGCCTCCACCCACTGCAGGCAAATGATGTCTGGTTCGTACCTGGCGCTTAACCCTCGAGCAGCATGCGACTTGAATCAACTCTCGCGAGTCTTTTGTGAATGCTGATGCGACCGCGCAGGTCATGAAGCTCATTACGAGTCGAACTCAGTGTAGGCAAGGCATCACTCGACGAGGCAGGCCGCGGTGAGCATAGTTAAGGCTGTCACGCAACCTTCTACTTCATTCTACATCTCGCTGCGCACGCTACTACCGGCTGCTATCGCAAAAGCACACGCAACACGTAGCGATCTGGTCAGATAGAAAGACTTCGCGGGGGCGATCCTGCAAACGATGGGTTCGGGTAGGTGCTACTCATCCTTCGATGGGTCCGAGGAGACCAAGACGATCAGCCAGAGAGCGTTTTCAACGAAATTCATCCATGGAGCACGTGAGAAATTGCCTCTGCAAGCGATTCTGCCACCTGTGGCACCGGTTGGTACACAAAGCAAAGGCGCAAGGACTCCGTGCCAAAAGTACAGTCGGCACTGCTAAGAATTCGAGACTTATTCAGGTTTTGAACTGATGGCAGTCCTGGATGCGAACAAGCCCTTCTGCCTCCGCCGCGCCAGTCGGGGTGCCCTCTCCGCCTCCTCTCCCATCAAGTCGAAGAAGCGCGTGGCCAGCGACTTCGGCAAAAGACAACGGTTTCTTCATTGCTGGTGCTTTCAGCTGCTACTGGCAGTTCGTGATACTATCGGATACAAGGTAGTGCCTGAGCAAGCTTCACGGCTGCCTGCAATAGGAGGAGACCCTCCATGGAAGGACATCCTGTTTTTGCACATTCCCCTGCTGAACCCGGACCTTCCAGGCCAAGCTCAGGTTCCGAATCCGGTTCCGAGTGGAAGAAAGATTGCCAGGCCCATGTATTGGGAAAAATCATTTCATCCCGTGGCATGCGCGGCGCTGATCTCGTCCGGCTGATTCCAGCAAGTTCCCTAGTCGACCTCCCATTTCCCAGCTCCCCGAAACACGGGGCCTCGTGGCAGGACATGTTGCAAGACAGCAGAGTGGTGCTCCCCGACGGTGTGGGAGGCATCTCCTCTGTTTCCAGCACAGTCGCGATCGGGACCGTGGAGGAACACAAGGGTGGAGTGGGATCCATGCTACATGCCTCATCAGCCTTATGCCTGGCAAGCTCTCAGCAAACGAAGGCCCCTTGACGAGTTTTTCAAAGCTAAGTTTAGGGTTTAAGGTTCAGGGTTTGGGGTTCAGGGTCTAGGGTTTAAGCTTCAAGGTTTAGGGTTTAGGGTTCAGGGTTCCGGGTTTAGGGTTCAGGGTTTGGGTTTTGAAGCTTCGGCAAGGAGAGCTGCCAGGCCAGGGGTCGATGAAGCTGAACATCTTGAGTTCCCCAACTCGGCACCGAAGAACCACGTCACGATGCCTAAGAGCCTGTGACCACCAACCTGCCAATAGACTTCTGGTCTTCCAACCGATTCCTGAAGTAGGTTCTCCTACTTAGAACCACTGAGACCATTTCACGTACAGACCGGTGCCTCGTGCAAGGATGCGAACAGGTCTGCAACCCACTCCGGCGCGGCTTTCGCCACGATGGGGCGGCGAAAGTCTGAGTAACGACACGTGAACGAGTTGACATCAAGGGGATAGCGATTTTGCAAATGTTCATGGGTTTTGGCCACATAAGAGCATGGCTAAAAACTGCAATGATACTTCAGGGAACTTGCTCCTGCTTACACTACATGTCGTAGAGCCTTCGGGCAAATGTCTTGAAGAGACATCCGTTACATCTCCAAGGGGTACTGCAGTTGGTACATGTTAGTTCGAAGGTCGCGACTCTACTGGCAGATTCAAGGCAACAAGGAGGAGACAATTGTCTAGAACAAGCTGCGAGGTTCACGGTGACACTCTGATCAGGCAACCAAAACACTGAGCAAACAACAAGATTCAGTGAGCAAAGCAAAACAACGTTGCCTGACTTCCCGCCACAGCTAGTAAATAAAGACTCCCGGCACACTCTTGCATCCAAAAAAGCATTCGGTTCCAACATGCCGACCTACTCAGTTGGCAAGTCTACCAGGCCCCCTCTCTATAAGAGGTTGCCCCTAAGTCCATTGCCCGGTCAGGCTGTCTCACCAACCTTGGCTATCTCATGCAGAGGCGATGAGGCCTGAGAGGTAGCGGAGCTTCACCAGGGGCTGCTCTGTCTCGAGCGAGGACACAATCTCAAAGTTCTTCGTATACTCCTGCGCCCGACAACCACTTTGAAGTCTTCTAGGGTCAACCCATGCTACTCCCTTGTTTTGGGTTTCTTCGTCTGCGTAGCCATGTTACCATGATTCGACTTCTGACTTCTTGCAATCACCCCACAGTAGGGTTTTGCGGTTTAGCTCCTACATGGAAGCAGAGCAATTGGACCATTGCAAGAGGCGCACCTTTTGGAATCGGTGTGACCGGTGTAAGGTTTAGAGTTTTGGGCGCAGCCGCACGTGCAGGAACACACTCTTCGACTAGTGATGCCTCAACTTCACCCAATAAACACTCCCGAGTCTCCCAAGCTCAGAGGCCTCGCAAGCATGAGTTCCATGGTGCGTCTTCTGCCGTTGGAGCCGCAAAAGTTTCCCCAGGGCCCCAGCCCCTCTTCCCTCNNCCCCCCCCCCCCCCCCCCGCGGCACCTCAGAAAGGAGTCCGAGCATGAAGCTCATCTCCGAAGCATCCATGCCGGCGAGGTAGGTCTGATGTTCGTCTGAAAGCAGTTTAGGATCGAGCTTGGGGTCGCGGGGCTCGCGGTACAGGTGTTCATCTCACACACATCCCAGGCCCCAACACTCCAGAACCCTGCCAGCAGACTGGAGCCCTAAACTCATCAAAGCCCGTCAGCCACACTCCAATCCCTATAATCAAACTAACTTCTGAGAGTCCGCCTAAGCCCCTTTCAGAAACACACCCAGAAACTCCCCGATGCTCATGCAAGGCCCGCACTGCCAGGCGAGGAAGCTTCCATGTGAGGGGTTTCAGGGCAAAGAGTCCGGATGCCTGGCCCGGGGTGGCGTAGAAGGGCCTTATAGACTTATATATGCACTTAGATTGGGCGCCTGCGGTCTATTCTGCTATCGTCTTATGGGGCCATATCGTCGGAAGTGTGGCAAAAACTATTGGTCCATGCGCCAGTTCGTGGGGGGATGTTTGATGGATTGGGCGGTTCATTGGGGGTTTTGCTGGGTATTGAACTGCGGCAGCCCCCTGTGTGGACTTGTGTCAATCCTCCTGACATATTCTGGAGCTCCGAACGACAGGTCCTACGGCCAACACCGGACTCGAGACCTAGAACTTCGCCCTTGGACACACCCAAAGCGTCGGTTGACTGGCATCCGCTCACTACGACAGCTTAGCTTTGGGGCGAATGGGCTCGCCGAAAGAAAGGCAGAGCATGGCAGAAGGTATCAACTTTTTCGCCCACAGGCTTTCACCACCACATCCAGCCAGAACCTTCGCGGAAGAGGCTCAGCAGTCTACTGGTCGTATTCCACTGCTCGTCCAGCTGGCAGGCGGCGACCTGAATACGGATTGCACGAGGTGCGGAGTTGAATTGGTACAAGCAGGAATGATATTCAATGTGTAAAAAAATGAAATGAATCTGTGCAGCCCCTAGTGACAGATACTGCTCAGTCAAAGCCAGCACTCAACAAGGCGACAAGATGTGCGAAGGGTGCCCGCGCGGTAAAGCTGACATGCTCTGCCAGGCGTCTGCTGCAGTATAGGTCGCAGAGTTGCCCGCAAAACGCCACCTTCGGATTCGTGTCAGGCGAAGAACAGCGCAAACCCAACCCCCTGGCCGGTTCCGACTTGGCACCGCTCGACGGATTGCGGAGTCTAAACCCTCAAAGACACCTCATCCTACACGAAACCTCTCAAATCTTTCAAGCCTGACGAGTTTATTCTAAGCGGCGGAGAAGAGGTTAGTCTCAGCCCACCTGTTGAGGAGCGCCAACACAAGGGGCCATTGAAACTTGCAGGCAGTGATGGCTGCAGTCAGCGAAACCACGTCGCCCTCAGCACACAAGGAGCTAAATTCACGGGTCGGACTTTACGGCTCCGGATCGTGAAGACCCACTTCCGTCAACAACTTGGCTTGGATCCAATCGCCTTCGTGTGAAAGTTGCTTAGGCAAACCTGTGCAGGGAAGTTCTCAGAAACGTCAAAGCCAGCCAAAGCATGCCCGAGCATCTTCCAGCTCGGCTTCTTTCAGCTGGCCCAGTAGACTCACTGCCTCCACAGCATCCGTCTGGTGCGGAGTGGGCCCACTGCTTTGTGGAATGCAGGGTGGTTTTTCAGCTCACGGATGCTTCAACCAGGATGCGTCTACCTAGTCTACTTCCGCACAGAAAGCAGGTTGGCTGCCCGTGTGGGCGCGCGTGCATGTGTGTGTGTGTGTCATGTGTGTGTGTGTGTGCGTGCATGAGTTTGACTGAGTGTGCACGTCTCTGTCTGCGTGCGTGTGTGTGTGTGTGTCGCGCGCGGGTGTGTGTGTGTGTGTGTGTTTGTGTGTGTGTGTGTGTCTGTGTCTGTGCAGGAGTGTGAATAAGTTTGTGTGTGCGCGTGTGTGCATGTGTGTGCATGTCTTTGTTTTTGTGGTTTTGTGTTTTTGCATTTTTCTGATTGTTGCGTTTTCGCTTTTGCTTTTTTTGCGTGCGTGCGAGTGAGCGAGGGAGCAAGCATGCGCACGTGCATGCCCATAAGTTAAATTAAGATGTGCGCGCACACACACACACATCTGCGTGTACACATGTACGTAGGTGCAAGTAGATGCAGGTATTAAAAGTAGTCATATGTATATGTTTGCATGCTCGCAATCAAGCATGCTATGCCTGCTATGCCTGTCTACGAGTCTACATGTTTATACCAACTGAGCAAAATCCGCGACCGTGCCCTGAGATTTGACACAGGCCTCGTACCACCGCAGCCCTTTGGCACAGGCGCTGGCTGCCGCATTGTAGCTCGTAAGCTGCGGTCTCAGGCCTGAGCTTCAGCCGCTTGTGTCAACAACATTAACAGCAAGAGCAACAGCAACAGCAACAACGAGAACAATAACAGTAACCAGAACAACAATAGCAATGACCACCAACGAACCAACACCGAACAACCAACACCACAAAAATAACAACAAACCCTAGCCCTGCAACTACGACTACGACTCGTACTCCTATTCCTGCTCCTGCTCCTGCTACTGTTACCACCACTACCCCTACCCCTACCACTGCCA